GACCGGATGGATTACCACAATATGTTAATCAGTTTGATGGTCAATATGCAAATTTGAGACCTGAAATTCCAGCTAAGAAATTCTTTAAAGTTGCTTTATTCGATCCAGTGTTCAATGAACAGAAAGAAGCAATGAAAGCAGAATTTAAACCAATTCAAGTGGCAAGAATTTCTTCATCTTCACTTGCAGAAGCGTTCAAGGAATTGATAAAGAAACCACTTTATTCTCAACAAGGTTATAACTTTGATTTAATTAAAGAAAGTGATAGACGTAAATTAGAAAAATCAGATGGTTTTAAGAATGCATGTAATGAAATGATTAAAGATATTGTAAATGATGAAATAAGACTGGAAGAAACTCAAAGCAATATCAATAACATTATTGGTGCAGTTACAAAGAAAGTATAAGCAAACAATGATGAACCTTGGGATATTACCGTAACAACTAAATAAAACTTTAAATATATATTTTTCTTTTTTTATTCAATTATAAATGAGAAGACGTTTCACAAGTCAAAAGAACACTAACGCAAAAGCAGAGATTACGGTTGGTTATAACGTAAATGATGATAAATCACGAATTATTCAAAATGTTAAAGTTAATGTTAGCCCTGAATTAACAAGGTCAGCAACTCAACCAAATTTATTAACTCGTGACTTACCGAAGAATGAGGAGAATGAAGAAAACCATGAGAATGGAGACCCAATCATTTTATCTGAACCCGGTAAAGAACCTGTTGAAATCCCCACATATCCAACATACCCCCACCTCTTTCATCAAACATCGAGAACCCAGGAATATACGATTCCAGTCGCAATGCGCCATATAAAATAGACATTAATTCTGAATTAATGAAAATTTACCGTGATATAATAACTGATAATTATGATTCAATAATAAATTTAATTGATCAATCCGGTTTAATTATTTTACCTTATGAATCATTAATTCACATTATCGCCATTCTTTGTGATGTTCAAGATTCAGACGTTAAGATTCAATTTTTCATAGATGATGAGGTTTCATGCTGCGGAACAGTTGCAAAAATAAATCCTATAAAGGATATTAGCACAATTAAGATTCTGACACAAACCAGAAGAAACCTGAAATAGTTACACTATATTTTAAGTTCAAAAGAGACAATCCTATATTATCTCATATGTTTGATTTAATGAACCCAGTAGGTTCTATTTATACATCTATGGATGTGAGAGGTCCTCAAGCAATGTTTGGTGTTGGTGCATGGGAACAAATAGTCGACAGGTTTTTGTATTGTGCAAACTCTTCAAAGGAAACAGGGGGAAGTAAAACGATTACAGGTGAAAATTTACCTGCACACAGTCACTACATAGATTTAAGCACATCTCAAGCGGGTTGGCATAAGCATAGATATTGGGATTGGTCAGGAATGACAAAAGGTAAAGGATATGATGTTAAAGATGACGTTAAGTTTGCCATAAATTGTTACTGGAGCGACACTCAGGGAGAAGGAAACCATACACATCGCGTTTCAGGATATACACAAACAACGGGACAAAGTAAAGATTACATGCCACCATTTATGACTGTATTCGCATGGTATAGAGTTCAATGAACGCTCAATGTTTGTGAAACAAACTTTAGGAGCTCCAAAAGAGCAAACGGCATAATTTAAATTTTTATTTTAGTATAAATGAAGATTCTACCATATGGTGTTATTGGAAGAGATAAAGATGGAAACCCAATATTTGATCCAAAGTTAAAATTAAAGTTACTGACAAGACAACAACTTGAAAAGTTGCTGAAACTAAAACAGAATGAAAAATGAGAAAATGAGAAAATGAGAAAGAAAAAAATTTAAATTATGCAATTTTATTTTTATCATAAATGACCAAATTAATTAAGCCAACTATTTCTAAATTAATGATACCAATGAAATCATTTCATGGAGTACTTATCCCAGGTTCTTCACAATTAGCCGGGGCAAGTGTTGTGACTCAAGGTGGAACATTAGCGAATCCATTCAAATTATTAACTAAAGATGAACTTAATAAAATGATGATAAAATAACTGATAACAAAATTTTATTTCACTACTACCATAAAAACAGGTGAAAAAAACAGGTGAGATCTCACCTCTTCACCTAAAATATATTTTAGGTCAAAGCTTCCACGAGAGAAAAGATTCCTCATTCGCTAAGGATTCCAAAAATGAAAAAATCATTGATTTCGGCTGAGAAAAAATAGCAAAACCCTTCTTCCACGGGAACAAAGAAATAAAGAAGAAATAAAGAAGAAATAAAGTAAATTTTTTATTTATTCCCGTGGAAGATAGAGCACTTTTATGACACTTTTTATTCACGACAAACAAGACAAACAAAGAAAATAAGAAAATACGGCGCCGTCGCGGTTCGAACCACAGACCCTGACCCCTCCATAACACCACCTTTGACCACTGTGCTACGTAGCCTGTCGACATAAGATTTTATAAATTGCATATTTGACGTAAATTTATTTCCCAGTTATTCAAAAATAATTAATTATTGAATAACCTAAAATCATTAATGAAAACATAAACGATAACATTTATTTCCTGTGTTGTTGTCAAAATGTCATGTTGTCTCAAACTTTAGAACAGACTGAAAGTCCTGAGCTCCAAAAGAGCAAACGGCATAATTTAAATTTTTATTTTTATCATAAATGAATACCCCACAAGCTCAAAATTTACCACGAATCATAACAAGGGAGGAAATGATAAAAATGATGCAAGAACATGTTAAAAATAACAAACCACTAAAATTGAGAAAATGTGGTTATGCAGTAATGATGGAAAGAGAGATGTTGTCGAAGAGGAATAAAAATTAAATTTGGATTGAGTTTAAAAATTCATCTTTATTAAATTCATCTCTTCCAATCAATTTATTTATTCTATTAAATTCTTTTATTTTTGCTTCACTCAGTTTAAGGATTGAACGGTAAGTTTCTAATTTTTCGATTATTTCTTTCCTCTCTTTATCGTTTTCAACCCCACCACATTGCGACTTCTTTTTGTAATAGCATATTTTTGATTTAATTCTGTTTAGTTTCTTTTTATATTCATTGTCTGGACTCTTGACTGCTTTGTTGTCACTCATTTTCTTACGAAATAAAAAAAATTAAATATTATTTAAATATAATGGAGTAATAAAATAAATCGGAATTTCTATTAATTTATTGTCAACTTCAACTAATGCATTGCCGTTAATATATCTAACAAATTCAGCTATTGTGTCAAATCTTCGTCTTCTTTTTGTCATTGATTTATCAGTTTTTCCATAATCGAGATGAATTAAAACTTTATTCCCTTGTTTAAAATTCATGAGCCCCGAATTAATTTGTTCACGTTTAACATCATTTAACCTTTCCATTTGCTTTCTAATATATTCCCATTCTTTTGAAATATCATTTTTCATTTCCACTGGTTTCATGTTTATAGTTCTATGCCATGTATTATTGTAATAATATACTAACTGCTGTATGATGGAGTCATGATTTCCATCCCAGTATATCTGACCGTTAACCCCTAACGCATCTCTAAGAGTTCTCATTACTGCATCAACTATTTTATTATGAAACGTATATGGAGAGGATGAAAAGTAAAAATTAATTTGTGGGAAATAATGAGCCATAGCTGCCTGAAATCCTTTATCACCATCACCCCTTATATTATCTACTCTTTCATGATCAAGTAAGTATTGAATAGCTCTTCTTGTTTCCTGTTCTGTTTTCCCTTTCACCGGAATGCAATATAAATATCTGGTGTTAATGTTAATGGCAAATAAATAAGTAACTTTTCCTTTTGAATATTCCAGATGATCGATTTCGTATGAATATGGATATGGAGCAAATGAAGGGCGACTAAATTTTTCCTTTAATGGTTGAATTTTTGGGTCAATTGGTTTATTTAATATCTTGAAATCCTTTTTAAAATCTTTTTGCTTCTTAAATGTTTGAAATGGATATAATAAAGTGAATGATGAAGGATTAACTGAAGGAGGAGGTGGTTTTAGTGTTGCAAGTGGTTTAATTTTATCTGCTTTGATTTTGGATGATGAAGTTTTGGAATTCCTTCCTTCCTTCATTAATTCTGGATGTATTCTATTCATTTGTTTTAAATATGCTGTATATAAAGGTTTAATATACTTTCCCGCTTCGAGTTTATGTTGAAGGATGAATTCCAAAAGTTGATCTTCATTTAAAAGTCGGGCTGAATATGGTTTAACTAATGAATCATAAATTAAAGCTTGTGCTTCATTTATGGTCTGAAGGACCTGGGTGTTTTGCACCTTTTGTTTTTGCTCCTTTTGCTTTGGTTTTTGCGGCTCAGGATTATATAATTTATATAATTCATCAATATCTTCTTCTGTTAATACTTTATTTTTGAAATCTTTCAATTGTTTAAGCTGTGATTTAGTTTTTCCCTTTGTATATTCATTATTTTTAATTTTGTCTTTAATTTTAGAAATTATTCTATCATGATATTTCAAAATTTCATTTTTATAATATGGAATAATAATATCCATATCATCACCCGTTATATTTTATTATATTTTTGGAGATATGCTTTTAAATCATAATAACTAAGAAATTTTTGATTAAGTACTAAATCATCAATTAAATTTTCTAAATCTGAGTTATCCATTTATATAAAAATAAAATAAATGTTTTAAGGGTGCCCACCTCTTTGAATCATAGTATCAAAAACATCATTAACGGTTCCTTTTGTCTCTTCTGTGGCATTTTATTAAATAAATGGCATACAACATCCATTTTCACAACACACAGCCTTAGTGTGTGCTCCTGTTAATGCAGTCTTACCAATTGTTAAGCGAGTCATTGACCCATTTTTAAGTTGTAAATTAATATTCTGACCATCAAATATCACTTTATCATTTATTATATCCAAATAATTTTTAGGTGTTAATTGTTTATTTTGTCGTAAACTAACTCCTTTCATTTTTTGTGCAATCTTTTTAAAATCACTTCCATCAATTGAACCGTTGAATGATGTATAACACTTAGGGCATAAAGCAACCATGTTATCACCTTGTTTCTCAATTGCTAAACCCAATAACTTCTTCTCATGTGCTTTTTCTTCAGCTTTATTCTTTAATTTAGGTTTAAATTTCTCATTAAAACAAAAGAAATCAAAAGGTGCGAATTTGTAAATGTTTTTATCATAAAATTGTTTATCAGTAACAATTGCTTGAAATGCTTGAGTGTTAGGAAGATTTGGGTCGCCAGCGATTGCCCAATAAGATGAATCAGTATCACCTTCAATGAAATGAAAACGATTAACATTCATGCATTTATACATAAAATCATAAATGAAAACCAAATACCAGTATTTTGCGTTATCTAAAGTGAAGAATGCCTCTTGTAAACATGTATCACATCTATAAAATCTATCTTTAAGCATCACTTGATACGTATCTTCACCTATTTCTCTTATGTTTTTAAACTTATTTGACATACATGCAACGCGTGCCTTCTGTGCATTCATTATTTTAGTCTTTGCGTAATTTTGTGTATTCATTGCATCGTAACCATATGATCCATTAAGTGAAATCTTGCAAAATAAACTTTTTCCTTTATTTCCTTCTAATTCAGCCTTTTGTCTTTCGTTCATAAATTCGTTCGCAAATTCATTAAAGCAAGTGTTTTTCGTAAATGTTAAAATTGATTGAATATCATCAATGATAAAATGAAATCTGTCTATTAGATACCAAAGATAATAAGAAGAAAATGGTTGATATTGGTTGTGTGTTGATGCTAACTGAGTTAATTTTCTCTGTTTCTGGTCAACTGGTAGATTGTTTGATTTCATGTAATTATACATAAAACTGCCAATTGTTTTTTCATCTGTGATAATATCTAAGTTTCTTATTATTGGTAAAAAGTTTATGTAATCATTAATGTATTTTTCATCAATGTGACCCTTTACTTCAGCCACGAATAAAGTATTTTTCTTTCTAATTATTCCCAGTGCTTTTGCTTTCTTTGTTGCTGTATCACAAATGATAACACCATTCAATCTTCCCGGCATATACATTTTATGGTCAGTATATTGAATGAAATCATGAGGATTAGATGAAAATGATGAAGGATATAATGAATTAAAGTCAACTCCAACGAAATGAGTCATAATGTTGGTGGTGTCCTCATTTGATACAGTTTTAGTTTCTGGATTATATGAAAGTTTATTAATGTGCGTGATTCCTTTAAGATTAACACGATGTTGAACATTTGATAGACCACCAGTAATTCCATTACGGAGAATGTGATAAGCTTCAACTGAATCTAAAGTCATTGGTAAATTATTTTTTAATGTATAATTTCTTAAATTGATTCTTAAACGTTGAACATCTTCATCTTTATTTGATTTTACGACATTGCAATAACAACACATTAACTGACAATTTTCTTTGGTATGTGGTTTTTCATTATCGATTCTATCTAATGTTGGTTTATTAGCATATGTAAACGCTTTACCACACATTTTGCATTTAGATGAAAGGATTAAATCGTGATAGTATTGAAGTCATCCATTGAAACATTGTTTTTAGTATCCCTTTCTGCTTTTTCATCTTGTTTCTTATATGATTCAATTTTATATTTCCAATACTTTTTCGTTAATTCAAAACTTGATTCCACATTTTCTTCTTCTGGATATGTTTCGTTAGGATTGAAGTTCTTATATGCTAACGCGTAACGAATCATTGATGCATTCGATGATAAAGAAAGATTATGAAGCATGTCAATTTTATAAACAAATGTTTCTTCAATAATTTTATCAATTGGGTCAATCATAATTTCAACGTCTTTATTGCAATAATGAATAAAATATTCTAATCTATTCTCAAAATTTTTAGCATCATTGAGATATATTTGATAATCTGAATCGGATATAGTTTCTTGAGTTAATGCTGAATAAAATGAATCTTTCGTGAATGGTTCCTTTTTATATAATTCATCTTCGTAATTTTCCCACGTGATGAATTGATAAGGGAAAAAGGATTTAACACGTGATTTATTGTTTCCGAAATCTTGAGTGAATTGGTCTAATGTCCCACCCGCTATATAATTTCTGATGTCAATAAATCTTAATTCATATGGACAGTTTGTTTTCTTTACTATGATTTGCTTAAATTGAGAAGATGAACCCAGCATTGATTTTATTTTCCATTTTGCAGTGTTTAAATCACGAAGAATTAAATTTAAATCAAACTTTCCCGAATTAAAACCTATGATATTCACTTTATTGAAATTCCTCATCTAGAAGTTCTTTAAATGCTTCCTTCTGTTTTTTATGTTAATGTTTGGCTTCATTAATTCTTCATATTGTTCAATATTTGATTTAGCAACTAATGAACAGGTTGAAAATAAAAACTCAATCCAATCAGAAATAAAAGAATCACTTGATGTTAAGCAAAAATTCCTCGTAAATGTTTTATCACGGTCTACGACCTCGCCGCTTTGCGGCTTTATTTTGACAGTTGATGATACCATAAATGGTTTTAAGTAAGCGTTCAAAGTTGCACATTCAGAAAGTTGAAGTTCTTCTTTAGTCTCTAATGTTTCGAAGTCAAAAGTAATATAATATCTTGTTGGTTTATAATATTCCTGCAAATTATGTGCTAATAGCCATTGATATATCTTCTGTTTCGTGATATGTGGTGCATATGGTTGTTGTGTGTTTTGCAATTGAACGTCTTGAATTAATCTTCCATTATTTTCTTTACATTTCTCACAATGTTTTAAAAATCTTCTTTGGTTTTTCCTTTCTGGATCATCACGGATAGAATATACTTCTTCTTTGCAAAAGGGGCAAACTTTATAGCCAGTGAGTGCTTCAACGTCTGTAATTCTGTCAGCGTGAAGTTTTCCACATGGACTCTGTGTTAATAAAATATTTACTGTTTCAAATTCTGGATCTATCATTATTGATTCCACTAATGAAAGTCTACCTTGTTAATGTCTACGTCTTCTGGTTGAGGGTCACAATAATAAAAATCAATATTAACGTTTAACATTCTTGCTAACCTCTCACTTTCTGATGAAATGTCAAACCCTTCATATGCATCTATTGCTTCGTTTAAATAACTTCTACGAGTTTTAGGATTAACACCATCAGGAATGTTATAGAAGCGTTTAAATAACCTTCTACCTTCTGCTCTAATTTGATTATCATTCATTTTAGCTGTTCCGTTTTTGTTCATTTATGTAAGAATAAAAATTAAAAAAATAAATAAAAATAAAGTTTATTTTTTAAAGTCCAGGGCTAAAGTCCATAAAATGAATTAAGAACACATAAATTTTTATCATCCGCGACGTGACGAATACATTTTAATTTACTCAAGAATGCGTACCCTGATACATTAAATCTAATTCCTGTCTTATTTAATTTCACAACTTTGAAAAGGAATGTATGAATAGCTATAAAATGATGAGATGATGTTTTATGGGTTGCTTCCATTTTTTCTGAAATAAATGAATAAATATAATGTTTATAAGTTTTCATATCTTTTATGTTCTTAATAACGAATGGTATAGACCTTTCCACTTCGTCTTCCTTCGGTGCTGTTCTTTCATATGAAACATTATTGGTATCTTCAATAATGAAACCACAATCACACAAAATTTTATATGTACCAATGGTTTCTTTTGATATTTTATCTAATAAATCAAAAACTTTATCAACACCTGTGCATTTATTTAAATAATAATTTGTGTAAATATCATGGTCTTCTTTCTTAATCGTATTTGTTGCATATGTTACATTTTTCAGTGCTTTTTTGAATTTTTCAGAATCAAGAGGAGGTGAAAGTAATATACATGGATAATCTCCATCGTCAATAAATTGTAACTTATGTTTATGAATAAATTTAGTACCTTCTTCTGAAAGTGTTTCGTCTATTTCACCATCTAATAAATTTTGTGTTGATTCTGAGACATAATTTTTATATCTTTCTTCATGAGATTTTTGAACTGCTGATTCTGAAGCTGGGATATTCATTAAACCCTCTACTTCATTTTCATTATATTTTTCAACTTCTCTTAATTCCTTAATTTTTTCATCTATTTCATCTCTTATTTTTTCCAGTCTTTCAATTTCATCATATTCATCATCTTTAATCCGTTCTTCATAATATTCAGGGAAAACATCAGGTTCTTTAGGTTTTTCTTCTTCAGATGTGGGATATAAGAAATTTATAACATCATCTTTATTCATTTTTCTATCATAATCAAACTCATTTAAAAACTCCGCGAATTTTTGACAATTTCTTAAATAATATTTACTAACCTCATAACCCGCTTCCTCTAATATATCCTTTATTTCCTCATTTGTGAATCCCAATTTTTTAACGTTGTTAGTTTTGACACTCATTTTCATACAAATTAAAAAATAAATTATTCAAAAATGTAAGACATGAATTTTTAAAGTTTATTTTTTTATTTTTTTTATTTTTTTTATTTCATTATGTATGGGTTTAGTGTAAATGTCTTACAATTTTGAAAATTTTTTAAATCTTGATTTATTCAAAAACGTAAGAATAAAAACCGTAAGAATCATACATTTTTTACTTCATATGTTAAAAAAAATGATACAAAATCGAGCGATATTGTATGAATTCTTACGTTTACAAAAAAAGTCACAAAACCCGCAATATATACTACTAAGATCATCAACCGAGTAACAACCATCTTAATGATATTACTAGCTGAAATCAGATTCCACAAATAATTTGATTATTTATAAAGAACTTTATTTCAGAGAGTTGCAAATTTCGCTCTTAAAATTAAATATTGACTGTTGAGCTTTTTATGAAAATAAATTGTGATATGGAAACTGGAATGGATGTATATTTGTGAAAATAATGACATGATATATGATATTTTGGTATTATCGTATTGAACGCTACGTAAGTTATGCATCGAACTGATTTTAAACAAGCAGACATTAACCCGTTCAGGATGGATTAAGTGATTTGAAGTATTATATTGAACAGAATCACTACTGTCTGAAATTAGAAAATAGAATTTTAGGAATATAAGAGATATCGCAAATGTTTTCGGCGTATATATCATATATACCCAGATTTTCCTTACTTTTACCACCTCTCTAAAGCTGGGGACACCGCCTATCGTTGGGAGTAGCTATTAAATAGAACCACCAAGGGTATTTTTCGAACTGCCGGTGTAGTGGAAACATCCGACATAATGATTCATTATGCCAAGGTTTGATTCCCATTTAGCCAATTTTTTTCTTTTTTGGATCATGAATTTTTTTTTGGGTCACTATAAGATTTGTTTCATGTTCTAAATCTGCTGCATATGTAATCTATTTTTATTTACCTATTTTTTAAAAATCTATTGGATTGCCAAATTTGAATATATTTAAAATCATAAAAATCCAAAAACTATAAATATATGTTTTATGCATAGTGCCGATACTCAAATATCAGATTACTTAGATCCATGAATAATATCCGAATTTTTTTTCTTAAAATTAAACTTCAAAACTTCTTGCAATCTTATTCTTAATCAATTCTAAATTTTTAAAACCATTTTTTAAAATAATTTTGCGTAAATTTTATTCTCATGTTGTTTTAATCGAAAATTGATACATTTTCAAAAAAATAATATTGACTTATGAAATTCATTTTTAAGGTGAAATAGTATTGTTTTTATTAAAGTATATGAATAATATATAAAAAATTAATGAATAATATAAGCAGATTTTTAGTTTACAAAACAAATATGAGCAATGCAATTTCAAACTTTTGCTGGCAATTTCGATATTGCTCAGGTTTGTAGTATTTGTGA